GACAAAGCAGAGAAAAGCAGAGCCAAGCTGGGGAGCGCGCGCTCCCCGGCTTGGCTCTGCTTTGCCCCCCCTCCTCCCCCTGGTCTGCAGACCAGGGGGAGGGGGAGGGCAAAGCAGAGCCAAGCCTCGGAGCGCGTGGGCAGTGGACAGCCCTGTCCGCTGCCCACGTGTTCCGCCGCTTTGCTTCTTCTCCCTGGTCTGCTGGAGACCAGGGAGAGGAACGGCCCCATTCGTAACTGCGGATCCGACATAAGTCGGATCCGCGTAACTCGGGGACTGCCTGTACTTTCAGCATGTCTTTGAGGTGTTTCAGCTGCCTCCGTGAACCGTTCTTTCCTGACTTAACTCAGAGAACTGGGAGGTGAATGACAGGCATACATAATAAAGCAGAGTTGGTGTTTCATGATCTGCACTTCTATATTGCTGATGTTGGCTACAAAAAGAACACTGGAGTGTATCAATCTTCCCAGCTGACCTTGAGAATCATCCTGAGGCAGTGCTGCTCCAACCACTTGAGAAGTTGTCAATAGGTTACCCAGGTTTCACACCTATATTGAAGGATGCGGATGACAGCTGCCTTATAAACTAAATTCTTGGTGCCTGTTTGCAGATCCCCATCACTGAAGACTCGTTTGAGTAGTCTTCCAAAGGATGCACTGGCACAGCCAATTTTTGGGTTCAGTTTGTGTCAATGCTGACTGTTTGGAAGAGGTAGCTGCCAAAGTTTGGAAAATGGTCTGTTTCCCAGGGGTTCCCTGCTGATGGTGATTTGTGGAGTGCAAAGAGTAGTTTGTGTAGCTGAGAGCTGATAGAATCATAGAACACTAAAACTGGAAGGAACTTCGAGAGGTCAAGTCCAGTCCTCTGCCCTCATGGCAGGACCCAGTACTGTATAGACCGTCCATGATAGATGTCTATCTAACCTGCTTTTAAATATCTCCAGAGATGGAGATTCCTCAGCCTCCCTAGGCAACTTATTCCAATGTTTAACCAAGATAGAGTACCTTGGTTTCTTCTTCGAGTGATGTCCCCGTGGGTGCTCCACTACAGGTGTCGGGCTCGTCCCGGCGCCGCAAACCGGAAAGTTTTGCTAGCAGTAGCCCCCTCCGGAGGACCGCGCATGTGCAGAGTGTCCCGTGGCGGTCGCGCCTTTTCTGCGTCGCGCGGTCCGACCCGCCAGTTCCTCCTAACCGTCCACGGCCGCAGATGGATTTGGACCACGCTCCTCTCCTGAGGAGAAATCGCATTGATATATTTAGATATTCTTTCCCAGTTAGCCCCTTCCTACTTAGTGTTAGTCAGTTATTGCTTAGATTAGTTAGTAGTTGATAGTTGAAAAAAAATATATATATATTATATATATTTCCTCTCCCGTTATAAATCTCTGAGGCACGCTCTATATTTAGATATTCTTTCCCAGTTAGCCCCTTCCTACTTAGTGTTAGTCAGTTATTGCTTAGATTAGTTAGTAGTTGATAGTTGAAAAAAAATATATATATATTATATATATTTCCTCTCCCGTTATAAATCTCTGAGGCACGCTCTGGCGAGCCCCTCAAGTTGATCTTTCCCCGTAGACCTCCTCAGCAGACATGCCAGGCTCTCCGGGATTTAAGAAATGTGCTTCGTGTGGAGAGGCCATGCCCATCTCTGATGGCCACTCCCGTTGCATTTGCTGCCTAGGAGAAGGCCACATCCCCCAGAAATGTGGTCACTGTGCCAAGTTAACCACACGCACAAGGCGCGACAGAGAAATGCGCCTGAAAATGCTGCTTTTCAATAAGGCTCTCCAGCCCCCGTCAGCAACAGAACGAGAGGATCCGGGTGCGCATAAGTCTAAGGACGGAAGAGGCTCTGCTCCGTCCAAGAGCCTAAGTGCAGCAGACGCACGAGGCTCGTCGGGCCACCCTCCCGTGCAGGGAGCGGTCAAATTATCGAAAGCCCGCAGCACATCAGTGCCGAGTCCCGCGCTCTCAGTGATATCGGTCCCACCGGGCCGCCTGGAATCGGTGGCACCGAGTCTCCGAAGGGCACCGCAGCCAGATACGGTGCGGTCCTCGGCACCGAGGCACTCGGCACCGTTGCGTCATGATCGCTCCCAGGCTAAGCCGGCACCGGGAGTCGACCCGGCACCGAAGCCTAAGCAGGCACCGAAGACTAAGCCACAGCCACCTAAGGCACCGGATACGGCACCGAGGAAACACTCGGCACCTAGGTCATCCCATTCAAGACCTAGTGATGCAGCTATCCCACACACTCAGGGCACGTCGGCACCAACACACACCGACCAACCATCGTGCACGGCCGAGCCGGCTCCGTGTATGGTTTCACCCCATGTCTCTGAGAGTGACACGGCTCCACCATCCCCATCTTTGGCGCCTCGGTCACCACACCTTCCGGGAGAAGTCTCGGAAGTTGCCTCAGTTGCCTCCATTCCGGGTAGCCCGGTCCCCCAGACTCTACCATCCACGGCGGTGCCGACTAAGGCGCAAAGGAAGACCCACCATCCTTGCACACCTTCTCCAGGTTCAGATAGAGCAACCTTCTCTCCTGGGCCATCGCTCTCAGCACCTCAAAGACGGCGGGACCATTACTACGATTATTCCCCTACGTATCGCTATTACAATTCCCCAAGGCGATCCATTATACCGCCTCACTATCACCGCACATACTACTTGAGATCCCTGTATCGTTATTCATACTGCTCACGATCCCCGCGATCTCCTTCTCACTCCCGTTACTATCGCCACAGGAGCACCGCTTCTTACTGTCCGCAGTATTCACACCGTGGTTCTCGCCATCGTATGCACACCTCGCCTCATTCTGATCGTTCACGTTCAGTCACAAGGCACTCACCTTTGTCCCCAGACCGGCAACAATTATATTTGCCACGGCCGACTACCCAGGGCTCTATTCCGCCGGCTCAACGCCCACCAACACCTACCGGGGATGCGTCAACTACTTCTGTCCCGCATGACGATACCACTCAGTCGCCGGTGGCAGAGCATCAGCCCGTGGCCTCTCCGACAGATGCCGCTTCTTCTTCCCCGGACGACGCGGTTTTTAACGACGAACCTCCTCTTGCGGACGACTACAAGCAATTTCATGAACTTTTCAAATGGGTAGCACATTCACAAAACTTACGCACCTCTGGGGCACCACCAAAACACCATGCCCTCCTTAGAAACTTGCAGCAGTCCAGCAAGTCAAAACTAGCTCTCCCCTTTGATGCCGCTATCCTGGAAGTAGCTAATGACATCTGGCAAACCCCGGCATCTATGCCCCCTACCAATAAATGTACAGACAGAAAATACTTTATTGATGCAAAAGACGCAGAATTTCTTTTCACTCACCCCGTACCAAATGCCATCGTTGTCGACGCAGCTCAACAAAAGGCAAGGTCCGCACAA